AGCTGGGTGTGGAGGTTCTGGATGGAGTTAAGGATCTTCTTCTGGTGGGCCAGCATGGTCACACCGATCCCTGGGAACAAGAGTGTTGAGTCGGTTATGAAGTTAATGGACTACACTGGGAACAAGAACGGGAAAAGTCAGTTATAAAATTAATGGATTTCTTTGCAACAAGAATGGGAAAAGTCATTTTTGGACTTCTTTGAACAAGAGTTGAAAGGTATTCTATTTGTAAATTGAAGGTTGGCAACAGTATATAAATTTTAACTATCTATACAACTACTCAAAAGGCTCATGGTTACTAAAGACAGGATTCTTAATTTGCTTGGATCAATGGGGAAAACGATCCTACTAAAGGGACCATCAAAAAATGACTATAAATTGTCAGTTGGTCCTTCTGCAGAGATTACTTGTAGAGGTTTAACTGGAATGTGCATTTATATTAGCGAACTTAAGTTTGAACCTGCAAGAGTAAACTAATTCAGTGCCTTCTGACTTTATTGCTGAAGTGACAGTTTTTGAAAATTCATGCTGTGTCCTTTTTTTACTTGTATGTGCTGGGACAAATGCTTGATTAAATCAATGAAGACATCTTGATCTGTGGGAACTTTCTTTCCACCAAATGGGAGCAACATGCCAAAATCAATGTACACACGATTGTCATTCATGGGACCAAGTTTCTGTAGCTTAAGAAAGTATTGGTCTTTCCAAGCCTGGACAATCCAACATTGAACCTCACTCAGGAATACAAATTGCCTCAATAACGTTTCTCCAGCTGTGACCAGTTTTGTCACTAAACGTCGTATCGACTCAGACATAACTCAGGATAGGACATGGTCAAACACCACTTGTCTCTGTGCTTTCTCAAACGTGCAACCCTGTCAGATACAGATGCTTGGCCTGTTTTGAAAGCATTGCAAGAACCACAATAAGTTTTAAAAGTGGGCTAAAAGAAGCATCTACCTTTGGGGCTACAGTAACATGTGAAAGTTTTCTGCTGGTCGTGACAGAGAAGACAGAAGCTACAGTATTTACAGGTCCATTGTACCTCTAGCTCCTTTTGACAAGTACGATGAACAGTGGACAATGGCTTAATGTCATGTCCTAAGGACTGTGACCCTTTCCAGTAGTGTGTACATGTAAGTTGTGTGAGCCATAACAGCTTGGATTTGAACTCCAAACCTCTTGGTCCAGAATGAGGGTTCCTAACCACTGACTGCACACACTATTACATCATATGTGTATCATCGTTACAAGAGCTCAATTTTTGGGGTGGGGGACCCAGCAAAGAAAAATCAAATCATATGTAGATGTCATCTATGAATTAAGCCTGTGCACCACTTGCGATTGTGCTTCTGTGCAAGTTTAATGACCTTAAGACTGACCTTGTAGATCCCTGATATTCATTTTCATGATCAGGTCCATGACTTGTTATTGAACCTTTGAACACAGTTTAAAGCCATCTAATAACAATGCCCCTACTGTACTTGGTGACAGTGAGTTCCACTCTGCGATAGTTCTAGGAAATAATGAATTTTTGAACATGATGATGGTGAGACTGACCTTGTAGGTCCCTGATGTTCATCTTCATGACCAGGTCCATGGAGGAGTAGCCGCCGCTGGAGAAGTTGTCCCGATATCTGCCCATCTTCATACTGTCCAGCCACTGGGGAACCGTGGGTAACACTGGCTGGAGTGCAGGCTGCATCGGTCTGGAACAACACAAATTAGAGATTCAGTCTTAACTTGACAAAGATCTTCCATTGTTCGTTGTGAATCCTTGCTGATTCTGTACATTTTCTATTATTTCCTCCCATTTAATTTTGTTAGTCTACAATTACACCATTTTCCTCTCACTTCTTGTGACCCTACTCTGTACAATTAAGTACAGACAGGCAAGCAAGCAAACACACACACACACATCAAAAAGAAAACCTTTGCACATGTATCAAGAAGTAGATTAGAGAGTGGGCCCGTTGGACAGATTTGCCTGGAAACATGGTGTGAAGACTAGCCAACTGCTGCCCAACCGTGTCAGGGACACCCGCAACAGTATAATCAATGTTTGTCCTTATCTTGAAAGTTCATCTGTGTTGGTAGAAGTCATTATGAAGCAGTTTAAACTTTAATTTCCAACACAAGGGATTGGAACAACTCCAGTTTTTGTCAATGTAATTAACGTGACACCACAGAAACGGTGAATTGCTCATTCATTGACAAAGACTGGATTTGACTGGATACTACATGTAGCAAACAAAAGATAAACAAACATTTCTGACCTGGGCTGTGCCAGCACCTTGAGCACAGCTGGGTTCCTGATCATCCTGTCAACTCTCTCCACAGACACACAAACAAACAAACAAACAAACAAACAAACAAACAAACAAACAAACATTTCTGACCTGGGCTGTGCCAGCACCTTGAGCACAGCTGGGTTCCTGATCATCCTGTCAACTCTCTCCACAGACACACAAACAAACAAACAAACAAACAAACATTTCTGACCTGGGCTGAGCCAGCACCTTGAGTACAGCAGGGTTCCTGATCATCCTGTCAACTCTCTCCACAGACACACAAACAAACAAACAAACAAACAAACAAACAAACACACAAACATTTCTGACCTGGGCTGAGCCAGCACCTTGAGTACAGCCGGGTTCCTGATCATCCTGTCAACTCTCTCCACGATGAGGGTGAACTTCGGCCGAGCGTTTCTCTCCCGCTCCCAGCAGTCCGTCATCAGCTGGTAGATTGCCTGAGGGCAGTCCTGTTTGCAAAGCAGATGCATAATGTTTACCTTCCCATGGTCTATCCTAACAAACTACTGCACTGTTTATTTGTACTCAAACACATTTCATATGTATGGTAACCAGCCCCTCCAACTCTGTCCTGCCACTTGCTACATAATGTAACCCAACACCACGGGGCACAGAGTGTCTGCAGAGGGAAGCCCTTGAAAAATACATTGAAAATGACTTGTAAGCATTTGTCTGACATGTTTTCCAAGTTTGAATGGAACCATGTTGGAAGCCCTGTATTTATACAAGAAGTGGAGTCATATTGACTAAAACTCACCATAGGTGGGGGGAGTCTGTAGCCAGCCTCTACTGACTTGATCACCTGAAGAGGAAAAAAGAAAAAAAACTGTAAACAAAGAGCAATTTCAAGCTGATGCAACATGTCCAGTAATTTGTGTTCCTGTCCTTGGTACTGAAACTGTGGTTATACCAAAACATCCTTGGTATTGAGGTTGTATTCATACTATAATGTAATATGTAAATCATGCTGTAATTTCAGTAAATAAATTGTAGATCTTCTTTTATTTAGCATCTTAAATTTTCTCCTGATTTTCTATACTTTAATGTTTTAAATAGTTTGTGTTTTTCTTACGTCTTGGTTGGACCAGTTCCAATATGGCCGCTCCCCGTATGACATCACTTCCCATACCAAGACCCCATAGCTCCACACGTCGCTGGCTGATGTGAACTTCCTGAAGGCGATCGCCTCCGGAGCTGTCCATCTGATGGGGATCTTTCCTCCCTGTAAACAGCATTTTGAAAAGTCAATCTTACAGGATGTTTCCTCCCTAATGTGAGCATTTTGAAATGTTCAACAATTTGACCAAAAAGAACAAAAGCAAACATTAGAAATACAAGCCCTAAGTGCAAACTTTTACTGATCCCAACACATCACTTCAATATCTCTCTCTCTGTCTCAGGGCATAGAAATGCAAATTAAAATAAAACATAAAATGGAAGTATGTGACCGACATGCAACCAATCTGTCATTGATGAAATAGCTTATTTGCAAGGCTATCATTCGTTAAGTGGCTAATTATGATGGAAAGTCAGGATAAGTGGTCTACAGAGATGACCACAATAATCTTAGCTTTAGCAAAAAAAAGGGGTCAAAAACTCACATTTGTGGTGTAGGCTGCGTCTGGGTCGTCTCCCAGCACTCTGGACAGGCCGAAGTCTGACACCTTACAGATCAGCTGGGAGTTAATCAGGACGTTTCTGGCTGCCAGGTCCTGCGGAAAAATGTAGTTTTGATCATAAGTTTGCTGTGCACACATTGCCTAGCAATCACTGTCTAGAGAACAGCAGCATTTCAGCACTAAGGACAAGTCCTGGGGGTAAACGTAGTTTGAATCAATCAGGAAACAAAAAGTAGGCTGATAATACTATAGATCGCCTAGGAATGTCGAATCTACTTGAAGTTTAAAATCAGACAACCTTTGACCCTTTGCTGACGTAGCACGTGGGAAAAATCACGTGTCCACAGCATTTGGGTCAAAAGCTGAGGAAGACTGAGTGATTCAGTCGAAAATTCCGTTGAGTGAAATTTATGAGTTGGAGAACAGTTTAAATTTTTCATAATGAAGTTTAAAATTGTCTTTCAATATGTACAAAAATTATATCATAGACATTTGCTTATTCATTAGAAGCTCAAATTCTAAGTAAAATTCAACGTAAATCTTTGGATAGCGTTTCAGCACCAAGGACAGGCAATATTACATGTACCTTAAAAAGTTGTTTTTAAAATTAAATTTCAGTAACCTAGCGTGCGTAGGGTTAAGAGAAATGGACCGTTCCACTTACCCTGTGTACATAGGAAAGTGCTTCATCATTAAGGACAGTTAATATTACCAAAAAAGGTGTTTTTCTTAAATCATGTTTTGGGTTAAGATACTGGACCGTTCCACTTACCCTGTGTACGTAGTTCATCTCTGCCAGGTACCTCATGCCTGAAGCCACACCCCTGATCATCCCCACCAGCTGGGTAACCTGGAACTTCCCGTCGTGTTTCTGAAACAAACAAGCAATCACATGTGAATTTTCACAGATTTAAAGAAAAAATTCTCTAACCAACAAACTTCATTATCAAAAGTACAGTTTTTCATAGAATATTTACCGCAAAATCACCTAATGTTCTTCATAGTTCTATAATTCCTCACTTCAGCACAAAGTTTAACATTTCTGACTGTAAGGGAAGTTTTGTCAACTCTCTTTTAACCATGGGAGAAATAATACAGTACAAGCTTCCAGACAACTTTGACCAACAACTGTAGTCATGTGACTAAGGTCACGTGACCATGAGTGTAGCGGGTCATCCATCTTGAATAAAGCTAGAGGATCCAAAAATTTACCTGATTTTATTCCGGGACACACCAATTTGACAGGTTGGTATTTACCTTAAAATATTTGCTTTAAAAAGTCTGAAAAGCAAAAAATAAATTTGAAATTTGTAGGAACTAAAGTTTGACCAGTAGTGATCAGATGTTTGACCTTGTCAGTTGAAGTGCCCTGTTCTCTCAGAGGTCACAGAAGAACCAATAAAACCTGTCACCTCGGCACAATCCAATTATTCCTGCGGCAACTGTAATCATGTGACTGTAAGGTCATGTGACCATGAGAGTAGTGGGTCATCCATCTTGAATAAGGCTGAAGGATCCACCAAGAATTTACCTAATTTTACTCTGGGCCACACCAATTTGAATGGATGCTTCTCTAGCTAAATATTTGCTTTGAAATTTAAAAAAAAAACAATGTGTGTGACCTTCAATGTATGGAAACTTAAGTTTTACCAGTAGTGATCGGATGTTTGACCTTGTCTGTTGAGGTCACAGGAGAACCAATAAAACCTGTCACGTCGGCACAATCCAATTACTCCTGTGGCAGGACCAGCAGGGAAAGGATCAATCCTGTCTGCTCTGGTTTTCCCGCTGTCCACTTCTGACTAGAGCCACACAAACTTATCTTTTAAAGAACCATTTCTTTAATATAAAACCTAAGTGTTTTTCTTGAAAAAGTGGACGGAGGATTTGGTGGTAGTGAACAGTGCAAGATTTCAAATCATCTAGGTTTTTCATTTGCCATTAAGGTTTTGTCCTGGTCTTTACAAGAAAAGTGATGAGAAAGGATTTCATCGTGGATTTTGCAAGAAGTGAAAGAAGAAATTATAGTTTCCCTTTTTTCAGGTTAATTTGGTGTACATGTACATGGTGTGCTTGTGAAATTTCAAGAAGACTAGGAAGAATTTAATTTTAGTTGAATAATTTTTCAGGTCAACAGTTTCTAGTAATTTTTCATTCCTAAAACATATTCTTGGGGAGTCTTTTTCAATTCCAACTCAGCATGCTTTCATTTATCATTGGTCCAATTTTGCATCTCTGGTCAGACAAATATGAAAACCGAAATCCTGCATTTGACTTCGAACTTGTAGCCAGACATTGACAAATTGACTGGAACATCCCAGAGACATCCCTGCTTCCAGTGTAGCCTGCAAATCCTCCCCCCCGGACAAAAATGTCACCACCTCTGACCTGTGAGCACTCCCTCAACACTGACCCTGCCGCAGTATTGACAGCACTGCCGAACGGTTCATGATTGGATTGTTCGAGACAACGAGATGAGAGAATCGAAAATGTTGCCCTGAAAGAATAATATGCCAAACACAAACCTCCATAAAGCATAAAACAGGCTCTTACAATGTATCTTGTTTTAATTTTTCTTATTAAAAGATCAACTGGATTGTTTGAGACAATGGAATGAGAGAATCGAAAATGTTGCTCTGAAAGTAAAAATCTGCCACGACCATACAAAGTAATTTAAGCAGCCACAAAGGACAAGCAAAGCATAAAATGATTGCTCTTATCTTGTACTAAATTTTGCTCTTATCTTGTACTAAATTTTGTATTGAAAGATCAAATGGATAGTTTAAAGATAATGCAATTAAATTGTACATGTATTATTTTATCATAAACAACGAGATGACAGAATAAAAAATGTTGATCGGAAAGAACAATCTGCCACCACACAAAGTCAGCCTCCTAAACTTAAGGACAAAAAAATTAACATAACTGTTTTTGGCTGTAAAGTAGCAGTAGATTTACTCTAAACTACAACTAACTGACCAAATCAGTGTATGTCTCTGTACAGTTCAATCCATCTTCGTTTGTCTCTTGCTAAGTTTCTAAGATATTTTAATACCTGAGACTCGAGTCTGATGTTTTGACTTAGAGGACAAGCAAAGCATAAAACATGTTCTTATCCTGTATTAAAATTTGTATTGAAAGATCAACTGGATACATGTAGTTTTAAGATGATGCGATTTATAAAGGGTTGAAAATTGTTTGCTCTGAGTTATAGAAGTATCATAGTTTTTAAACCTGTGTACGCAATTCAGCGATTTAAACGCTGCCATGTACAAGGATTGTTGTCAATAAACTATTATTATAAGTACAGTTTGCAGCAAGACAGAAATAACCTTTCTGCAAGGACAAACCAAGCGTAAAATACAACCCTCACCCCGCATTTGTATTGATGGACCAACTAAATGGTTGTAGGATGGGATTATGTGAGATAATACAGCCTGAAAGTTAAAGGACAAGCTGTGGAACCTTGTGGTTTGCTGCTGGGTTAGGCCTTGCCAGAAAACAAGATAACCTCGCTAAAACGATGGATGAGGCGTGAAAGCAACTATTATTTCTTCTAACAACTGATCATAAAGGTCAAGTCAGTCCATGAAGGTCATGCCGACCTTGAATCTGCCCAATGTCATTTGTAAGGATACAGTTTCCCCAATATATGTTCTGAAGAAGATGAATTTATCAACTAGGGGCCCTACATATGTAGCTACATAAACACAAGCAAGCAAACACACAAACATAACGCACCGAAAACAAAATCTCACGGAGATGAAAATTACAAATACTGGTGGTCTTGTTTATACTATTCTGACATCTGACCTCAATTGTTAATTTTCAATTCTTCATCTTGAGTCTGTATTTTCAGGTGATTTGTACTTGTTGTATCTATTATGTATTTGTATTAATTTTGTACTTTCATTGTTAACATGCCCTGGAAGATTGGGCCCATAAATGGGCTAAAGGGTATCTCCATAAACTCAATAAACTCAGCAGAACTTTCTTGCCTTCTTTTGAGTTTGCTGTAAACTGTGCCAAAACTCAACCATGTGTGTGACCAGTACCACACTTCCCTGTAACACGGCTGGCTGTGTTCATATCGGGGACGTCCGATCGATGGCCCTTTCTGGCCCAACGTGACCAACCCAAATGTAGCTGTTAACCAACCGTGGACGGGGCAAGACTTTTGACAGATAACGTCGAAATATAAAAGATATATATACCCTATACAATCTATCATTGGACTGCACATATAAAAGATATATATATATATATATATATAATATATATATATATGTACAATCTATCATTTGGCTACACAGAATCTGTGATCAGCAGTTTTAGAGTATAACTCAAGCAGATTAATCTGGGAATTTTGTGTGAGAAATTATTATAAATTATTATAAATTATCGTCAGCTGCCACTTTTTAATGTGTTACTTTCATCACACATGGGGCATGCAATTGTTAGCTATAGGAAAAACACTTTGTATAGTAGACAGGATTGGAATTCTCAAAAGAGATGAAGGTGGGCATAAACTTCCCGCAAGTTCTGATCCACTGCTTACGAAAGTTATGTGGTCTATCTGCAAAAAGTGACGTCCCAGAAGCAGTGAATTGCTTATTTCTTGAACAAGTCAAAATTTTCATTCCATTTTCCAACTGTTTTGGAAATCATAGTTTTAGTATTTTGTATCCTCACTCACTCACTCACTCACTCACTCACTCACTCACTCACTCACTCACTCACTCACTCACTCACTCACTCACTCACTCACTCACTCACTCACTCACTCTCACTCACTCACTCACTCACTCACTCCTCATGCACTTGGTGCATGAATCCTACCAAGTTGAACATAGAATTGAAAGCAAAGTTGAAAAGAAAGATGCTCTTGCAATTTTTGCATGTCATACCTTGAATTTTCCATGTTTGTAAAAATGACTTTTGGGACGGAAGCCTAGCTCCCAGTAACTAGTGATTGATCTGCCCCAGGAGAGGGGATCAGCTAGTCCGATATCCCATTATCCGACCTCCCGTCGTTATTGACCAGGGGGAAGTCATCCTGCCAGGGTCAGACCAGCCACGACCAGAACCAATAAACACGGAGCCGGCCGTAATGAACCTTATTGACCAGGAACAGTGACACTCGCTCCCATGGGTACAACTACAGATAAGACAGGATGGAACACACAAAATGTTAGCTCTGATGACCTTGAAGTGCACTATGACCTTGTGCAGTTGCAAATAAACCTGGAGCCGGCCGGTAATGAACCTTATTGACCAGGAACACTGACACTCCCTCGAATGGGTATAACTACTGATAAGACAGGTGAGGGAACACACAAGTTCTTATGACCTTGAACTGTGACCTTGAGCAAAACTAATAACCCTGGAGCAGGGCTGTAATGAACCTTACTGACCAGGAACAGTGACACTCTGTCCCATGGGTCATTACAGATAACACAGGACAAGAAAAGCACCCAAAATGTACATTCTGATAGCACTGAACTGCAATCTTGAGTAATTATAAACTTGGAGCTGTAATGAACCTTACTGACCAAGAACAGTGACACCTACTCCCATGGGTATAACTACAGATAAAATAGGATGGAACACCACCAGCCAAACCTTGAACTGTGATCTTGAGCAGTTAGTAAACCAGCTGTGAGCCTAACTTTGAAGCTTTTATGACAAAGGGTGAAGAACTTATCCAAAGTTCTGTCCACAAGATAACGAACCATATTTTGTTCTATAGCATGTTCCTGGAGAAGAGTAGAAGAGCCCCCTATCTGAATCACACCAAACTGCAGTACTAAGATCGTGAGAACCTACCCTTAGGAAAGTGTCCAGGGAGCCATTTTCCATAAAGTCTGTGACAATCATCACTGGTTGACCTGGAAAAACAACATCAAGTTCAACTTTGTTAATAATAATAGCAATTCTACTGGTACAGTATCCGAATGATCCGAATCATCCGAATGATGAATCTCAGAAACTCCAATAGGGATCTCTGCCTATCCAAAAAAGAGTCTATAAATTTCCAACATATTTTCTTGAATGACAGAACTTTATAATTATAATTCAAGTCAATTTTTAAAAACGTCAATTGATTGACTTAGAGGACTTGTAAATAGGAAATCATCCTAACATCCTAACATATAAAAGTATCCTGATTTGAGTCTCTGTCGACAAAGACTACGATAACTTTCACAGTCATGCAGTTACAAAATCTGTAGTTAAAAGCAGTATACAAAGTCTATACAAAAAGTTACAGATATTAATTTCCAATGGTAGGTCATGCAACAAGAGTTGCAATAGGTAGAATTGACACTGACTTTTAGTGATGACCCCCTGTAGTTTGATGATGTTGGGGTCGTTGAACTGTCCCATGATGGAGGCTTCAGTCAGGAAGTCGTCCTTCATCTTATCCGTGGAGCCGGGTTTCAGCGTCTTGATGGCCACGTCCAGGTACTGTCCCTTCCCGACCTTCAGACGACCTTTACACACGTCTCCAAACTCACCTGGAGGTGTGGGAGGATCATATTACATCTTATCTAAAATCAAACGCCTTGAAATGTGTCAAAAGTGGCCTGAAAAGAACATACGAATTTACTAGCACGTGGGCACAAGTTTTGTGTCTACAGTACTCGGGTCAGAAAGCTAATGAAGACTGAGTGATTCCGTCAAAAATTCCTGGTGAGTCTTTTTCTATTGAGTTGGAGAACAGCTTAATTTTCATTATTACACATTTTTATGAAACCAAGTCTTCAATTCAGTCAATGTTTCAGTGACTATTTGTCATCTTCCTCAGGGCAATCGGTTGCTTACATAAAGAGTCCTTTTATTCAGTGACTTACCAACCTGATGAAACTATTCAAGGATATAACTAAGAAAGGATTTTTTTACTCTATTGTAAGTTGTAAATCTAATAAAGGAAGGCAAGGAAATGCTACCTCCAACGATGACTTGTTCCATGGAGAAGAACAAGAAGAAACAGACCAAAAATGAAGGAAAACATAAAAATCGGTGCAAGGTTCTGTGACAATGTCCTACCTCCACCGATGACTTGTTCGATAGTTAGAGCGGATGGCTCCAGTTCCCGTGCGAACTCCCTCACGGCGTGTTGTGGGTCCTCGTAGGTGTGAGGGTCAATGTAGGTCTTCACACGCGGCGCCACAAAACCTGGCAGGCGAACTGGGGAGAAAAACATGCTTATTCAACATTTCCTTCAATGTAAAAAGAAATGATTTAGGCAGGGGCACTGGGAGAAAACAACAGATAAGAGATCTCTAAACATTAGAGATTTCAGACATGATCTTTAAGTTCACAGACCTCGAGAGAGAGAGATTTAGATATATCATGTTTTGAACAAAGAAACGATGAGGTGGTATGCCATAACTTTAAAAAAAAGTCTAAACCTTTATTATCAGGGAGAAAGAAGAGCTGATGCATTAAAAATTAGAAATCAGAAATAAATTTCCTACCTTCTCCATTGGCATACTCCAATTTATCCATGTCACTTGGTGGCTTCCTGTTTTTCCTAGAAAAATATATTTGGCTGTGTTAAAACTGTTTTATTTGGTGCAGTATACGTATATGACATTCAAACTAACACTGCCGTTCCTGTCCGTGGTACTGAATTGACAATCGTACTGACAGTGCTGTCCTTGTTCTTGACAAAACTTTAATAGCTGTGTCTGTGTGAATGTCATTCAGCACCAGGGACAGGGCTAGGGACAGACACAGACATTCACATTGATATACTAGTAGCTGTTCAAGTTTTGTACAAACAGAGCAAAAACAATCTCCTGAGAAGGTAAACACAAAACAACTCACCTTCTCCAGACCACACAGACCAGTATGAAGAGAGACAGCACCAACACAAAACCTCCGGCTGCTGCAATGGCGGCGATCAGGACAGGCTGGTCACTACCTAGGGGGGCTTGGGCTCCTGGGGGAGAGAAACATACAGTTTATAACGATCAAAATACAAATAAGTGTAATCCTCTGTAGTGGCAAGAAGCAGAACTCCAGTCAGAAGCTCTGATGAAGGTGCCTGATAGATGTCAAAACGGTTTATACTAAGCAATGTGAGAGAAATACTGGTTGCCTGTAAGAAAATCCCTAACACTAATAAGTAAAATATTTTAATCAATGAACAAAACATCAAAATACTATTTTGTATTGATGCATCCATCAATTTATTAAATTGAAAGTACCCTGTAGTAAACAACACAGCTGTAAAGAACATCTATGGTGATCTCTAAGTGCAGTTCCACCTACCATTGACAGAGGTCTTCAGTGTAATAGGCTGACTGGCTTTCCCATACCCAGCTATGGTTCTGGCTTGCACCTGTGATACAGACATTCGGGTTCAGTTATTCTACTACATGTACAGTACTAGGCTTATAAATATATACAACAACAGGTAAATACTGCAGACATACAGCAAGAACATTTTCATATTCTGGCTGAGGTCCTATAACCATTGTGATAGTTACACATTGTACCAAACATTGGGCTATTTTGGAAATACTCCTCCTGTGGCCTACATTCAAATTGCTTATTTCATCCGATTTACAAAATATATAAGATTTGCTTCCAAAATCATGTGAAATGAATGTGACTGAATTGTGCGAAATAGCATGTTTGAAATTCAGATGTCAAATCAAAGATGAATTTTCATGGCTTGTTGGTTGGGAAACCAGAAATACAACATTTCATCCTAGGCCGTATCTTAAACCCTTGTCCTGCAGGCATTTTTTTTTACACAATATTTTCAAATAAAGTCTTAATCTGGTCATAGACCATTGACTTTTTTTGCCCATATGGGCTCCACAGGACAATTAGACCAGTCTCACCTGGAAGACGTACTCTTCATTGTTCTCCAAGTTCTCCACAGTCGCTGACTGCACGTCTCCATCCACCTTTATAATCGCCATCATCCCCGGCCCGTCTCGCGCTCGGTAGAACTGGATCCGGTACTCCAGGATTTTCCCGTTCGGCTGGCTCGGTACGGACCACTCTATAGTCATGGCAGTCTCTGTGGATGCAGCTTGGATTATGCTCTGGATCTGGGAGGGAGCTGCAGAAATGTAGAATAAAAAGAAAGTTTGTTAGATGTTGTATAATGTCTTTGGGTCTGTGATGAAGCTTCAAACAAGTGGAATAAAAATGTTTACTGTTAATTGTTAAAAGTTTTCAACCCTTTTTCAACTAGAACAGACAAACTTGTTTCTCACACGAAAGAAAAATCCAACATACATATGATAATACATGTATTATGCAGTTCATGTTTCAAAACATATATGCACAGTGTGATACATGTATGATATGTCAAAAGTGTGCCAAGTTTGAAATATACCTTAACGGAAACTGTAATATATTGAGAGAAAAATTAATATAGTCATAAAAGAATACAAATGTGCAACAATCTGCAGGGAGTACCAATTACTTAGAGTCCTTGCCATTTCTATTACTGGAGAGGTCTTGAGGACTTTGTTCTAAATGGAAAGACTGGGAAATAGAAGACCTGCAGTGGAGAAGATTGTTACACTAATGGTCTGCCTGGCTGCCAGCTTTCTCTATAGTGGGTAATGTGTCCCTGAGATATACCTATAAATTTATGCCATTGACATTCAAGGTAGAAGCAGGGTTGACAAATTATAACATCCGCCACGAAATGGGAACCGAATCACAACAAAGCCGGCCGTAGCGAGACTTCCCTCTTAAATGGGTTTGTGTATGTGTGTCCAGGGACAAAGTCTGGATTTTGCAGTCTCTCAAAACACAATTTCCCACATTTTGAGAGGCAAATCATGGCATTGGCATTGGTTGGTGGTGGTCCTCTGGATGCTCTATATTTTTACCTAAGATTTTTATAAATTTTGTCCATCAAGGTTGCTGAATTGGTTTTAAAATTTTCTGTCACAAAGTTCCTGCAATTGAAAGAAAATCGAGTCCTGGCTAGAGGCCTGGTGAAGTATCTTCGAGATATACCCATAAATTTATGCCATTGACATTCAAGGTAGAAGCAGGTTTGACAAATTACTACATCCGCCACGGAATGGGAACTGAATCACAACAAAGCCGGCCGTAGCCAGACTTTCCTCTCTGATGGGTTTGCCTGTTGGAGCTCGTTTACCGTAATTATCTCACAAATTACAGGGTGTGTGTAGCTCGCGCCAGCCTAAATGCCAGACTTGGCAATGGTAGAGTGCTAATAGGTGGCACCGGGATAGCAGACACATTCCTGTAGACCCTGTCATTAGGGTGTCTATACTATAGCGGGATTGTCGATGGAGGTTAGACATCCAGGTAATGAGATACACAAGAAAATGGTTACTCAAGCAATTGGATACTAGATGTTGGAAAGCATTTACTATTAATAGTAACCTTTGTATCTAGCATTAAGCTTCGAGTTTGACCAAAGGAAGGAAAGAGAAAAAGAGGAATAGAAAAAAGATCAAATTTCCTTTTTTTGCTCAGTTTTTACATAAATTTTTTCTCATCTTTCATCATCACAAATGTGGAAATTAATCCCAGACTTGGCAATGGTAGAGTGCTAATAAGTGGCACCGGTATAGCAGACACATTCCTGTAGACCCTGTCATTAGTGTGTCTATACTATAGCGGGATTGTCGGTGAAGGTTAGACATCCAGGTACCGTAGCTACTGTAAAATGTAGTAAAATTCGCAGTGATCTTTTTTCTTAGTGATCTCTCTACATGTACAGCAAATTCATCACACTATGAATTTGTATCAATACTGTACAACAGAATTTTTTCAACTGGAAATTTAAGATAACACAAAAACTTCCTTTACCCTACTTCCATAAAATATAACCCTTAGGCCACACCAATTTAATTTGTTGGTTCTCGGATTCGCCTCTTCGTTTTTTCTGATTTGCAAAAAAAAAAAATTTGATTCTGGTCCTGAATCAACTGAAAAATGCTCATGTTTTGCCCCCAACAGTTGAGGAAAGTCCTTTTCTTCCTAGTTGTTACAGTTTTCCCATCTATCATTGCAGTGGTTTGATTAAAAGTTCAAAATTCAATGTTTAAATTTTAACCCAGCCTTTTGTGTGGACTTCATGGCTCATTTTGTAGCATTTAAGCCTATAATAGGATGTCTAGACCTGTTTTTATTTTTATTTTTTTTTCGCCCTGTCGCTTCATATTTTTTCTGAAAAAATCCGAGAACCAACAAATTAAATTGGTGTGGCCTTACAGTAAAATTACAGTAAATGTATTTACTGTACTGTATTCCAAGCTCTTTGTCAACCGATTCCAGGGAAGTCCATTCATTGAGCATGACCCTCTGTTCTTTACCTGTCTGTAAGAACATGACCTCTGTCTGACCTTCGTTGAAACCAATATGGCAGCTCTCCAACCTAATTAACATGTGGATATAAACGAATCAGATCTAGAGAATCTGATGTATGTACAGGTACACACTCATGTAAGTGTAGATCATGAGTAGGAAAGAGTTCTGTTGATTTCCGGCATGCATAAAGCAGAAAGTTTCATCTTCTGTCATAATTGATGAAGGTCGTGATGCTTTTTCGATAACTATTAGGGTATCAGAGACTTTCCGGTTTCCCCATACACTTTGCCACCAGCCAACTGGTAGTGTTGTCATTACAAAGTCTTGAGTGGGGTTTGATAAAGTTACATCCACATTTTGCCTGACGCACCAAACTTGACTTCATTCAGTGATGGAAGGACTTGTGTAAGAATTCTGTCCAAACTTGAAAAGTTCCATATGAAGTCCCATGGGGTGCACCGTGCCTCCCTGCAGGGGTGCCCCCCTCCCACCCCCATTGTGAGGCAGCAGACAGAATGGCCCTGCTCTTCTCCTTACCCTCCATCCATCAACCGCTACAGACAGTGTAATGACAGGGTGTGGAGGTATGTGTGCTCGCTACTGGTGCCACTTACATGCCCGTAGCCAGGGGGGGTTCGGGGGTTCGGAAGAACCCCCCCACAAGGCTCAAAGGTCCACTTTTTGGTCCACTTTTTATGTAAAGGTCCACTTTTTGGTCCACATTTTATGTAAAGGTCCACTTTTTGGTCCACATTTTATGTAGAAAAACTGCTCCCTTTGTCAATGAATAAAAATCTATCTCTGATTTTTTCTTGGAAATCCTCTTGAAAATGCACGAAATGCCATTTTAGAAGGTTCATTTTTCAAAATTTTCCGGGGGAGCATGCCCCCGGACCCCCCTACAAACCTCGCGCCTTCGGCGCTCGCCTCGCGCCTACGGCGCTCGAGGTCCCCTCAAGCAGTGGGAAGAACCCCCCCATTCAAAATCCTGGCTACGGGCATGACTTAGCTCAACACAATTCCCCAATCTGACAGTACCACTCAAGATGAATACACTGTACAAAGTAAACAAAACATAAAGCAAATCCAAAAGCACCAGGTTGAGATTTTACTTTAAGGCCTCTACATTTGTACAGATGACGGGGTGTGGGGCAATGTCTGCTCTGTATGAAGCCAAACCAAGAGACTGGTGCCACTTAGCTGACTACAATTCCCTGTAATGCCAAAACAGCCTTGAAAATGCAGCTATAACCTTCTCAGTTAGTCACATTTTACCTCCCTTTTCTAATAACCCCTTTTAGAAACAGTCTGACCCAACTTTCCCTTCAAGACAATATGACGTAATGCCAAACCTGTCAGCCCTGAAAACAGCTAACCTCAGTTAGACTGTTAGACACGTTTCTACCACCCTTTTCTACATTTGTAACCCCTTTTAGGAACAGTGGACTCAACTTTCGCGTAAAAATGATGTAATTTCAAACTAGCCTTGAAAACGTCCTAACCTCCTCAGTTATGTCACGTTTCTATCCCCCTTTTCTAACCTCTCTTAGAAACAGTCTGACACGACTCTCACTTCAAAATGATGTAACATCAAACCGGCCTTGAAAATGTCCTAACCTCCTCAGTTAGACATTTTGTCACGTTTCTCTACCTCCCTTTTCTGACCCCTTTTAGAACCAGTCTGACACTTGAAGACGACGTAACGTCAGACACAGGAAGATGGATAGAAGAGGACATCCGCACACCGCTTGGCTCTAATGGAACGTTGTTCATCCTCATTTCTGTAATGGGGAGGGTCTCTGGGGGGTTCTTTGAGGAAAATGATGGGATAAGCTACGTGCAGGGAACAACATTATTGCAGGAAAAATTTGCTGGCTCCTTGCTCTTTCTTAGGTCAATATCATTGCCAACAAGTCATTTTGATTATCCTCAAGAGGGCCAAAAATGTGTGAGCTTTGAAATAGACAAGTGGTATGCATAATGTTGTAGCAAGGATGTTGTGAAATGTGAAGAGGTCAATGAAAAGCCGTTTTTTGAGCCTGTTTTTTTTTTCAAAGAAAGCAATCATCTTGACTTCAGTATTTTGCAGAAGCAAGGGAATGGCTTTAAGCTTTCAGATTTATCGAAGCAAAAATTACATGCTGAAAAGATCTCTTTGCTACCTTTATTCTTAAGTCCCTTTTCAGTAGAAGTCAAGATACAGAAATGGGTAACGTTAGGATGCACTGTGCATTTCGCTTCTCCCTTTCTGTGTAGATTTATGTCTCCAAAAATCCATCTGACAAAGACCCGATTGCAAAACCGAATGTTCCCTTCGCACAGAAAGAGCCAAGGTCAATAGAGCTTGCCCCGATGACCTGCACTTTTTGACAAAGTCACTAGGGGGAGCCGCAAGACCAGATGCTGAAATCGCTGCCAGGTTCTGAAGCTGTCCTGAGCCGAATTGAAGCGGAGCCAAATCAAGCCATTATTGAAAACTGCCTCGGCCTACTTGGGAAAAGCCTTGAGTCGATTTCCAAGCCCTCAAATCTAAGCATCACACATTATTCCTAAGCATCTCACTTCAAACGTATTGAAAGACTACATAGGTCACATTTAGGCGCAAAGTTACAATGATTCTTACTCTTGCAAAGACCACATGTTGATGATTCTCCATTCAGAAGTAATGGTTTGACAACATAAGGGAGGACCTCCACCACTTGAACTTAGACAACATCCACCCACAGGACAGAGACAAGTGGCGGGCTGCCATCAAACCTC